CAAAAATCAGATTAAGAGTGTTCTACTTTTTTTGAAGGATCGCAAACAATCCATGAGACCGTAAGAATAAACAGCTCTATGCTTTTGCCAACCTTGGCTGATGATTCAATAGTACCTCCCACAGGTAGCATATCTCATAAAATAATAGCTTCAAAGTTGAAATACGACCTCGAATGGAAAAGAGGTTGTTATGTCGATTGTAATAGAGCATAATTTCAAGATATTTCAATCGGAACGCAATTTTAGCCGCTTGAAAGACAAATTGGATTAGCGTGAAATGTTTTCGTTGATCTTCAATGCTCCCATAAACTCAAGAATGTTTCATATAATATAATTCAAGTGTTCGTTCTTTCATCTATTTTATATCAACTACATATTTTAGTCAATGAAAGATGGCTTTCGATTCGCGACATATTTTGACCCAACCATTCTGTCTCATTTGCGTTTAGAATTTACCATCCACGAGCTGGAAAATTGGTAACTCAGTACCAGTACTTGAACCGGAGACTAACAAATCGGGGATTAATTAAAATTGAAAATTCCTCCTTGATATTAGAATGATGCCCTATAGTACTCCTAAAATGTTAAAGTGAACATGAACCATAATACAAAATTCACGAGAAGTATTAAGAAATGGACGTATGATGCTAGTTGAAGAGATACGTCTTCAAAAGTCCCATAGGGTATACTTTTTTCAAGTAAACAGTTTCAAAAGGACGTATTTTGCTGCAAACGCTAACAAAGAAGGATATTTTGAGAATATTTCTCTACAAGATATGCTCGATTTACTGGGGCATGGAACACTAACATAAAATCGTCACAATACACATGCGGTACGGTTTTCGTGGGCAGCGAGAGATGCGCTCATTATAAACCCGGCATTCTGACCCAAATGACATAACTTAAGTATGTTACAGCGTCCTCAATAGTATAGTCTTATGTAGGTCATCCTTTATAACCGAGATCATATTTCAGAACATCAATTAGTATTTCATGCGATATGGCACCTACTATATGTCTAAAGGAAATTAACCTTCTGGGTAATTTTCATAAATTGTTGAAGCCAATCAAACTCTGGGTTTTTGTTTTGGACCAACTAGCAGCATTAAAATCTTAGCGTTCATGATAATTCACCCCGTTGGTCATATGAGAGTGACTTGGTGTCCATTGGCCAAGAATCCGCGGTTTCAAATACGTGCCCACCCCACTGCCCACGGCA